GAGACATCGGAAGGAGCGGGAAAAGGGTGGGAAAAATCTTGAACCAGATTCAAAATAAGCAAATGGAAGTCACTGAAATAAACTGGAGTGATGTTTATGGGGAAGACTGGGGTGGAGGTGAGCAGTGTGCTTGGAGGCCAGAGACCTGTGTATAGACCTGCCCTGCCTGGAAGGTCCTCCCTTCGGCTCAGCATCTTTGTAGATAAGCTGGACGTGTATTTAGCAGCACTGTTTTCTTGTGCTGCTCTGGAGGCATTCGTTCATCTCCAGACAACAGACAAATGTCTCCATTTGTTTCAGTTTATGCTGGCTGTAGACATGCCTGGTTGTGCCCATGATCCCATTTGTGTACATCCACCCTTGGGCTTCATGTTTGCTTCTGCACAATGTGTTGGCCTTGTCCTGTCTTGAAGGGAAGTTCTTCATTGCTCCAGGGTTATCACCACCTTAAAATATTAGGTGGTTACATGGAGTACCCATCATGACATTTAGAGAATTGCAATGTTTAGATAATGGCAAGTAAAATGCCACCTGCCCAGGCACCCAAAGACACTCACGGATGTCCAGGATCCTTCGGATGCTGTTGTTGCCTGCTCTGGGATGGCCATGGCACATGCAGCTCAGCTGGGTTTATAGCAAGGGCTCCTCTTTGATTCCAGTGTCTGAAGCAAGCAAAGCTGGGTGATAAATGGTGATGGTCCCGGGTGGTGCTGCCTCCTGCGTTAGCAGCAGGGTGGTGGCAGCTCTCCCAGGCTTTTGCAATGGCCCATGTTAAAAAAAGAGGACGACTCAGACTGTTCTCCGGTATTTGCAAGCTCAGGGCAGCTTTAGCATCGTGCTGACGTGGCTGTGACCGGCTTCGCATGGGAAGCGTGAAATGCGTGGGTTAAAGCACCGTCCCTACTGAGCTTGGCCATTTTCCTGGGGATGGGTATGATCTGGAGGGCTTTGAGCGTTGTCTCCTGCCTTGGCATGCAGATGGTCTTGGTGGGAGAAGGTGCACATGGTTTGGTGGATGGGGAGGAGCCAGGACCCAAGGTGGGAGCTGGCGTCTTTTGCTTGAATGTACCCTGGTGGGCACCTTCCCATCCCAATGGGACGCTCTGGCACTATTAGTGCTCTGCGGAGTAACTTGTAGGGCTTCTGGAAATATGGAAATAGTAGGACTGTAAGCTTATTATAAGCATTAACATTTTATTTTAGTTTTGAACAAGTGAATTAAGTTACTGTAAATAGCTTGAGCAGTACTACTTGGCAGCGTGCAGCCGCAACTTGTCATGTAATGGTTTTAATCTTATTTTTCAAGAACAGAGGGAGCAATGGTTTTCTAACTGACTAGAGCCAAATCTGCGCTCATGTCTGTGTCTCTTCCATATCTCTCTAGGGTTTTGTTTGCACAATATTGTAGTGGATGTAGTGAACATATGGGGCTTAAATTCATTTAATAGTTGCAAGAAAATGAGTTTAAGGTTCTTATAGTATTAAGGTAGACATTTCCAAATTCGTTTTTAATGGAACATTTGTTCTCCAAAGATTATTACGCGCCATTAAGTCCGCTGCTGCATGGTGTGTTCTCATGCCCTGGGATGTTATTGCCAAGGGATATAAACATGTTTATGGGGCCACTTTATTGAACGGTGAGATTAGATATACTAAGCTCGAAAATGTCAGTAGGAGCATGAGTGCTTTGTGTCGTAAATCTTATGTGAGAACATCAGGATGTAAATGTCATGCCAGCGTGTAAAACTGGTGCAAATAGAGTTGCGACCAGCTGAAAATGTTTCTCACCAGTATGGCAGCTGTAAATACTGGGATTTATCAGCATTAAATATGTAGATAAGAGCAGGTAGTATACGGGTTTTTCCTTCCCTGGGAGGACTAGATGTGCCACACAGGGGTCATAAAACAGCAAATTATGTTTTAATGCTTCTGTACGACTGACGTGTGTGGGTGTGGGCAAAGCTCCCACCCTGCTGTAATGCTTCATCTCACCACAGGGCAGCGCTGCCGGGGGGACCCAACTCTGCTCATTTTATATGTGTGTGTGTGTATATATATAAAAAATACATGATTATAAATAAATAAATGTATATATATAAATGGGCAGCATTGTCTATATGTCTGTATGTATCACTCAACCCAGGAAAGAGAAATAATCCTTGAGTATGAGAGTAGAAACAACTCTGCAAGATTTATAGGCTGAGATAATGATTTATGCACTGTGCATAGATACATCTCAGTGCATGAGTTGTTATCTATATATGGATATATAATAGGTAGTACCAGACCTGCTTACCCCTCTCTGCATTGCCATCGTTACCTTGGTGCACAAGCCTTGCAGAGCTTTTTCTATACTAGTATTGAGGGATTTTATTTTTTTTTCCCTAGGTTGAGTGATACAATTAAGTGTCAGCTGCATAAACCTGGTGTTTTGCTGCTTTTATGCCAAAAAGCAGTTGAATTTGCTGGTTTTAAGAATCTGATTCCAAACCCAAGTTGGCTTTTAGGCTTCTTACTGACACACGTACGTGATAACCGAAGACGCAGGGCTTGGCTGCTGGTGTGATTTGGGCTGCCTGTCCATCCTGCGCAGGACCGATGGCCAGCCTGGATGAGGGAGAGGAATTTCGGCTGCCCAGGGAGGTTGTGGAGTCTCCTTCTCTGGAGATATTCAAAACCCATCTGGACGCATTCCTGTGTGACCTGCTCGAGGCTAACCTGCTTCGGTGGGGGAGTTGGACTAGATGATCTCCAGAGGGCCCTTCCAACTCCTACTGTTCTGTGATTCTGTGAATTTGGGATTTGCCTGCAGGCAACCTGTGTCACCTTGAACTGAGGACCACTGAGTCTTCCTCTGAGTAACAGGAAGAGTTAACAAGACCAGGCTGAATAAAAAAATTGTGTTGAAATGTGGTGGGTGATAGCATCTATTTATGTGCCCCAGATAATTAACCCTATCGTAAATCTCAGTAGCATGTTTGCAGCCTTTTCTTGTTCTTTAGTGCTGGGGAGCATTGTCTTTGTCTTGGGCTTATTTTGAATAATGAAGATGGTGAGGGGCTTTTTTTCCCCCCCCTCTTCTTTTTCCCCTCCCTCCTTAACCCGTCTCTATGGTTAAAACCAAGCTCTGTGGTTGGTTTGGTTTTTGGGAGACTGCATCCCCCGTGCTGGGCTGGTGGGCTGAGCTTGTATGGTAGGAGAACCCCATCCCTTGCATCTCCATGTGAGACAGTACAGGCACATGGCTGTAAATCAGCAGGGGAGGGAGGTTTGGTGGTTGCAGTGGGAGGAGGGTAGGGATGTGCAAAATGTGGTTTGTACCTTGGCATTTCTGCTGTAGAGCAGGTCGAACGCCGGCTGCGGATGCTCTGAGCACTGTGGGGTCATGGCAGCGTTATCTAGCTTGGAAGTGAAAACTAAACTCTATATATAGCAGGTCTTGATAAGCTTGCTTTAATAGTGAGAAGGATTTGGGTCAAAAATGCCTGTACAAGGCTGTATTGCTTTTTTTATATATGTGTGTATATAAGCATATATATATACACACACTTATAAAGTATCTGTATCATATATAGAGATATATATAAAAATGTCTGTGTATACACACACATATATAAAATATCTATACAGCCTGATATAGATGTTTTTATATGTGTGTATATATGTACACACATATATATAAAATATCTATATCCTGTATAGAGATACAGAAAAATATCTATATTGTGTATATCTGTGTATATGTACACACACAGATATATATAAAAGGAGCTATAAATATGTATCAGACTATTGTTTTTATATATATAAAAAGAAATATCAATATATCTATATCAGGCTGTATAGTTGTTTTTTTAATGTATCTATATATGTATGTATCTGTATGGCTATACTAGGGCTGTGACCTGCAGGTGCAGCTGGGAGGTCTGGTCTAACCTGCATTGGAAATTGTTAAGTTTTAAGCCAGCAGGAAAGACCCTGGCTGTGATATTCCTCCGTGAGCAGCTATTTTTGCTGACACAGCTGTTGTGCTCGCAGAGGCGAAGAGAAATAGTCCCTGTAGCGATGGAGGCGTGCTGGCTCATGAGGAAACCCAAGGTGTGGTTACCTCTGGAAAAAGTGTGTTTATCTCTGCAGCTCACCTGTGCTGACCCTTCGTGTGGTGGTTTAAAACAAGGTGGAGTTCAGCTTGATAAAACCAGGTTAATGAGCTATTATGGAAGAGGTTTGGCTTTATTTGTAGGTTTAACTCCTCATCTCTTAGTACACGCAAGGATGAGCATGCTTTTTGTATTGCTCCCAAAGCTAAAGGGAGGAAACCCTCACCGTCTTGAACCAACATGTCTCAAGGGCTTTTCTGGGGGAAATTCTGCCTTTTTGCTCTTCAGATCCCCTACTAGATCTTCCATTCACCCAGTGCTAACCTGGTGCAGGGTTCCCTATCCCATAACTGAGTCATCCCCCCAGTCTGCACTGGAAAAGGCTCTAAATGCGATTGTAGGTGCTCTGTTATGGAAATATTGATCTTTATAGAGATGCTTTGGTGACTTACCTCTTAATCCAGCTCCTGTTCAAAGCAGTGGCCGCGATGCAGGTGTATGGGTGAGCACGTTGCAGTCTCCCCTGTTCCTGCAGCTGTGCGGTGGCTGAGTACCAGCGTTTTTCCTGTGCCAAAGAGTGCAGGAAACTTTACAGTTAAACTAACGTGGTTAATTTTAGAGTGCATGCGCCTCAATTGGAGCAGCCTATGGGTCTGTCACCCTTTACTTGCACAGCAGGTGTTGAGCACGTTACGGGTGCTGCTTGTTTGCAGAGCTCCTTGCAGCCTGGATTCAAGAAAGGTCTTAATAGTAACGATAATATCTGCAAAGAAAGACTAATCAAAGAAAAGCAAAGCATGGCTGATTGGGTATGGGGGAGAATCTCTGCTAAAGCTTAGGTCTGCAGCGCCGGGAGGCTGTAGACCCCTGTGCCTCACCTGTAGCTCTTCTGCCCCACAGGCATCGATATCCTGAAGCTGGTGGCAGCCCAGGTGGGGAGCCAGTGGAAGGACATCTACCAGTTCCTGTGCAACGCCAGCGAGCGCGAGGTGGCGGCTTTCTCCAACGGCTACGCGGCCGACCACGAGCGCGCCTACGCCGCCTTGCAGCACTGGACCATCCGCGGGCCCGAGGCCAGCCTGGCCCAGCTCATCAGTGCCCTCCGCCAGCACCGCCGCAATGACGTGGTGGAGAAGATTCGAGGTCTGATGGAGGACACCACGCCGGTAATGACGGGCTGGGCTTCGCGCGCTCTTATCTGATGGGTTGCGTGTCTTGTCTGGCCATGCGCGCCTACGCCGCCTTGCAGCACTGGACCATCCGCGGGCCCGAGGCCAGCCTGGCCCAGCTCATCAGTGCCCTCCGCCAGCACCGCCGCAATGACGTGGTGGAGAAGATTCGAGGTCTGATGGAGGACACCACGCCGGTAATGACGGGCTGGGCTTCGCGCGCTCTTATCTGATGGGTTGCGTGTCTTGTCTGGCCATGGCCAGCATGTGGGTGCGTGGGACCCAGCTGAGGCCTCGATCTTAGCTAATAGACAAGCAGCTGGACTCCATCTCCCTCCAGAGCTACTCAGGGGCTTATGTTTAAGCCTTACACAGCTTTTGAGCAGAGCTTTGCCAGACTTGCGAGCAAACTTTGTCAAAGTCTTGACAAGCTCTTGAGTCCTGCGTGTTGCGGTGTGCTTGTGTCTTTGAAGGTCACTAGGAGGACTTGGTACTTGAACCTTTGTGTTGAGGAGATGAAGGAAAAAGCATCTCTCTTTCAACTTGCTCTTAAATGCTGTTACTAAATCCCCAAGATTTTATGAGAAGGACCAAGCGTCCTTGAGCCCTAAGTCGTGGTGGTGTAGAGCAGCAAGTCAGTTCCTCCAGGGCAGTGACCGGTGCCATGGGGGAGTCTGTGCATGCTGTCCTCTGGAGTTGTTGCCGTTCTGTGGCAGCTCTGGCATTAAAACAAGCTTTGGGAAAATAAATTGCTGCAGAGTATCCTGTAGCAAGGTCTTAGTGGGATGTAAGTTGTTGTGAGCTGCCTCAGTGACCTTTGTGGCTTGTTTTGGCCACCCCTGCCTTACCTGTTGGTGTACTTTTGGGGTTTTGGCTCTGATAATTTGGTGGTCTTCTGGAAATAGTTTTAAAGGTGATGAATGAGACTTCTTCTGAATGTGGAAGGCAATGGGACAACATATGGATGGAGGGTGGGGGTGGTCAAGAGAGGTCTCTTTCCTCCAAACCAGTTGGTGAAACATCTCCTGTTGGCCTTAGCAGTGACCCAGACGCAAAGGGGAGTGAATGAGTGGGTGATTGCAAACCTCTGTGGGCACTTGGTGGGGCCTGACAAAGTGGACTTTCATGTATAGCAAAGCTTGTGGGGCAGAGCATTTGTTGGGGCAGGAGATTCACAAATCCTGTTTTGACCATCCCAAACTTCCCTCTATAATAGGGACCGTGGTCCCTTCACCATGTTGCATATCCTGCATGACTTCATTTAGTGTACTGAACATCCTGGTCCCTCGTAACCATAGTGTGAAATCACAGGCTTTGATGCATTAGGAGTCGTCCTGGGCTTTGTTTTTGAGAGACCCTAAGTCAGGCGCGTGCCAAGCATCGCCCTGTGTGACCTGCCCAAATTTTGGATAGGTTTGCCTTGCCAACTACCTGATCGCTCCTGCTCCCATTCAGTTGCTGTTTTCTTCCTTCCGGCTCCTCGTAATTAAGCAGCATGTAACTTTCTCATTTCCTACCGTGCTCCAAGACGTTTTCTTTTTATATATCTGTATATATATATATATATATCTATCAAAGATGAGAAAAATGAAATTAAAAGCCTGAGACAAAGCTGTGGTTAGGAAGACAGGCAGAGAAAACTCTCGTTTTGCACATGTGAATTGAAGTTTCAAGTATGTACAATGTCCCAGAAGGACACGTTATCCTCTTGTTGTCCTGGAGGAGGTAGTAACCTCTGTCCTCTTAGTTACTGCTTTGACTCTGAATATTACAGCAAAGCCCCAGGCTAGGACATCAGATAAAACATGGGGCTTGTTTGTCAGCACACCACCTGATTAACGGACTTGGACTGTGTAGCACTCCATGCTCCTGAACACTGTCCTGTTTTGGCCAAGACTATCAGGTGGAGCTTCTAAACCAGCACAAAAACGCGAGTGGTGGCTCCAGGGTTTATCAGACGACCCGTCAGGGTGGTGTACTCCCAAGGTATCCATGAGCTGTTTGCTCTCCATAAGAAAGTGCCCCTAACTGAAAAGGCAGCAAGCGGATGCTCCAGAGAATGAGCAAACCCAAAGCTTGTGGATACTTGTGTGCAAGTCTTCTGGGCTTGCCAACCAGCTCTCCTGGAGGACGTTGCTCTTAGTTTTTTAAAACAGTATGGTGTGTTCCCCAGCATCCAGCAGCACCTGGAGCCTGGTGGTCCCCCATGGGTTTTGCTTGTTTCCTAAAAATTAGTAAAATTGGGTTGCTGATCTTTTGAGCAGGTGGCTCCACATGAGAAATGGGGCTCCTTTCAGCAAAGGGGGTGTTTTTTAACAAATTCACCTGAGCTGGCACATGCTTCTCCTCCCTCATGCTTGTGATTGGGCTTTTTCGGATGGTCATAGAATCATTTACGTTGGAAAAGGCCTTTAAGATCATCCAGTCCAACTGTTGACCCAGCACTGACAAGTCCACTGCTAAACCATGTCCCTAAGCACCACATCTATGTGTCTTTTAAACACCTCCAGGGATGGTGACTCAACCAGTTCCCTGGGCAGCCTGTTCCAGTGCTTGACAACCCTTTCGGTGAAGAAATTCTTCTTATCCTTCCATCTAAACCTCCCCTGGTGCAACTTGAGGCCCTTACTCTTGTCCTATCGCTTGTTACTTGGGAGAAGAGCATCCCTCGTGATCAGCCTTAGGTGTTGGCCATTACTCTGCCCTGAAGGTGCTGGAGCGGTTGCTGTGATGAAGCAGCGCGTGGGCTGTCAAAACTCAAAAGCACCCCAGGGGTGCAGATTCAGCATGGCAGCATGTTGTGGTTTTGCAAGGTATTACCTGCTGTAACCTGTCTGCCGCCTCTCCCTGAACTGGCTTCCGCCCTGTGGATGCGAGTGGTAATGGAATGGCCCTGGGAGGGATGCAGAAAGCTGCGGGAATTGGTTTGTGCAAGGGAGACTGAATCCCTGGGGCTTTGTGCTGGTGGCCGAGCTGCATCGCAGCGGTCCAGACCATGAGTGGTCAGGGGAACCGATTGCTCAGTGCCGGCAGCTGGCATTGAGGTAGTTCCATTTGTTTAGGGTTTTTTTCAATCTGCTGGTTGGAAGGCCTTTAATTAGAGCTAATCCAAATTTTGTTCTTGGTCATTTGTCTCTCTGAACACAGACAAATCGAGGCAGCTTCCTCTCCGTATGGAACTAGTTTGATCTGGAGGAGCGGGTTGCCCCATTGGTGGCAGATGTAAGTGCTGCGCTGCACCTCTCCAGCAACCAGCACTGCAGAAATGGTCTTGCAAAAAAAAAAAAGGAACAAAAAAAAAAAAAAAGCTTTTTGTGCAGTGGAGGGAGTGAGGACTCTCATAAGCAATGCAAATGCATGCGTCCTCCCTGCAGCTGACAGTGTGAAGCCCTTGGGGTGACCCAACCCAGCAGCAAGCATCCAGCCATGCTGGTGTGTCTTAGATGAGCCTGGGAGGGATGTGTGGGTGGCTGTGCTGCCCGTGATTGCCCAGCATCCCTGGGTGCATAAGGGCACTTCCTCATCTCTCCCCATAGCCCTCTATCACAAGAAAGCACCAACACCCCCAACTCGTAGGTAGAAATTGTGTTATTGAGTGACATAACTCTCAGACAGCAAATTGGTACCCTAAACCTAGCCAGGCTCCCTTCGCCGTCCCACACGCTATCGCATCCTTGTCCCAAATCCTTTATCTGATGTCTGGCTTCAGCCTGTGAAAGCTGCTCTCTCCTGTAAGTGCTTCATTCCCCCAGCAGCCTGTCGGGCTCCGAAATCCGCATATTTACAACCCCTGATAGGAGTAGGGGAGTTATTGGGAGTCTCAGGAGTGTTAAGTGTGGCAGGAGCATTTTCCTTCGGGTAGGGAATGGCTCCGCTGAAGGCTCGCCGGCTTTTTCAGCTGTGGGAGATTATGCTGGTTTTGCATTGCTCTGCATGAATTTAGGTTAAAACGAGATTAGCCCTCTGAGTCGCTTTGCTAGGGTTTTTTTTGCAGCTGATCCAGAAAATATGGTGAGCGCAGCATCTGTGGGAAGGTTTTTTGGGGTGCATTTAGCTCGTGGGGCTTCTGTTAAAGGTTGGCCCTGGCCACGAATGCTTCTCCAGCTCGAGGTTTGCAAAATCTCTCCCCTTGCAGGCAGCCTTGCTGGGCAGCGGCGTGCCAGCCTGGGCAGTGTTTAGCGAGCACAGGCACACTCCAAGTTAATGGTGCTGCCAACGACAAAAATAGGGGATAGAGGTGGGGAAAGGGCAAGGTTTTTCACTGCAATTCTCCATTTTAGGGTTAAAGTCAGAAAAACGCAGTGCAGGCACTGGGTAATGGGATATTTTTTTCGAGGTGCATAACAGCATTTTGCAGATACCAGGGGGTGTCTGTGCTCGCCCAGGCTGGCCTAGGGCGTTGCTGGCACGGCTGGCTGCGTTGGCTACCGTAAGTGTCCTACCGTGAGCGGTGCTTTAAGCTCTTATCTTTTTATTTATGGCTCTGCTGGCCTCGGCTGAAATAATTCAGAGAATGGATGGAGGGGAAGCAAACAGCCTTGCTCAGGGCATTCAGCAGCACAGCCTTAGCAAAGCTTAAAAAAAATAATAAATTAATAAGGGAGATATTGAAAATGGAGAGGGGGAGGCTGCAGCCCTGAGCCCAACGAGATTTAGTTCCACGGCTAATTGCATGCTGCGGATAATCCCATGAATCAGCAGATATGTTAGGGCTGGATCTGGTGTGAGGTTAAGCTGTGGGGTTTTGGGGGGGTGCTGGAGGAGAAGAGGATGTGAAAGCAGCCTCGTGTCCAGGCATGTGGCTGTGGCAGCGCCTTTTGGCTCCTTTTCTTCCTCTTTTGCCGGTCAAAACCATAGTGGTGTGTTGAAAGCCTGGATCAGCGTTCCCCAAATCCAGCCCCCCCCCAACAGCTCCTGCCTATCCCCTTCATCTCCTCTTTTGGCAAAGCAAAACTGGGCTGGACCCAGTAATTAGCAATTAACTTTGTGTTGGCTTAACGTCACACATCGGTGGCGGAGCGAGGGTGAAGCTGTTGGATGGATTTCCCAGCTGAGGGGCTGTGGTCTGAGGGCTGGGAAATGCTCAGGCAGCCAGGAAAAAAAAATTGCATGTGATTTTTTTTTTTTTTTTTTTCCTTCTGAACTTGCGTTGGATTTTATTTGAGGCACAAAGCTGTAGGATAAAGTGGCCAGAGCCCCAGGGAAGGGGCAGGGCTGTTTGGGTTTTGCTGGAGTGGGCATCACTGTTTTCCTCCAGGTTTGCTCTATTCCATGAATTGTTTTTTCAGCAAACTGAGGTTGGGTTTGAGTTGAGCTGGAGAATGTGCAATAAACAAAAATTTAATAATTTATAAAAATATAAATAATACAAACACAAAAATATAAACGTTATAGTAGATGCAGTTATAGTTGAGGTTTCCCTGCTGTGGTAGCCACATGTCCTTGGGTCTGTGTATCTGCAGTATAATGGCCTTGGGAGCATAAGGTGAAGCTAGAAGATTGTGGGGTCATTACAAGCCGAACATGATACTCACTTACTCGGCCTGTAATTGAGTTTGGAAACTCTACATCACAGCTTCCTCAACTCTTCCTCATGGTTTGAGTTGAAAAAGTGGGTGGGCAAATCCATAGAAAGGAGAAGCTACCGGGAGCTCTCATGGAGACGCCATCTCCTGCTTGGAGAAGCACTTGGCCCACGGATGGCCACAGCCAGTGGAGAAGAGCTGCTTCGTCTGTGGATGTCTGCATTTTGGTCTTGGCATCTAATCCCTCCCCAGACCCAGCATTGCCTGTCCTGGGTCGCGTGAGGCTTGACTTGAGTAGCTCTTCTCCAGAGCTGCCTTGTGTCGAGGGAAGATGCCTCCACCGCAGAGGTGGTGTCAACTGCTCTTCTGAAACCTGCTCAGGGAGGTGAAGGTCATGGAGAGGATGTTTGGGCTTGCCCAGCCCACCCTGCTTCAATGTGCCAGGGTTTCTCCTGCATCCCCTCCGGGCTGTAACAGACCTGGGAATAGGGCTGGTGTCAGCCAGCCGGGTGTCATCTTTTGGCAGAGAATCTGAGAAATGGCCGCCTCGGTGCTAAATTTATCCCCCCACATCCCAGGAGGGTGCACAGACACCCTGTGCAGCAGCAAATCTGCCACCGGCTTTTATTACTGCCTGGTTGCTGCGGGAGGAATTACAGGGAGGCATCGCCCAAGGGAGGGGAGGTTTTTAATGCCTGTGACTGCTCCTTCCTAACGTTAGCGCAGCAGCTGCAGTTTCTGTTTGCCCAAGTTGGGCTTTTATTGCGGTACAGTAAAACAAAGGCAGAAAATGGGACCAACCAGTTCAAACAGAGCTGTTGGGAGCAGCTGTGAAAAGAAAACAAAGCCAAGCCTATGTGTTCTTCTGCACTCATCCCCTTCTGTCCCCTTTTCTTCCTTTTAGGAAGGGCCTTCACACACCCTGAGCTGCTTAGAGCATCCTCCCAGATGGACTGGGATCCAAGAGGGTGTCAGTGCTTGAGCCGCATCCTAAAGGGCTGCGAGTACACAGAAGCTTTTAGGATTTTTTTTTTTAACTTTTTTTTTTGGCATGGCAAACCTCTTGCTGCAGTGCTCAAAAAAGAAAAAAAAAAAAAAAATGGTAAAGAGAAAGAAATAATTGGCGGAGCGCCCCGGTACGACTGACCGGTCGCAGGAGGCTGCTGATGCGTCAAAGCCGCCGCGGCGCCTTCGGTTTTCACGCTGGACTGTGCATCTAACAGTGTCCCATGTGTCTGTCTGTGCAGGTGCAAATGCAGCCTCAGTGGCAAGCGCAGGACCCCTGCAACGATGACGGGAAGGTGAGAAATGCGGTGGCTCTGGAAAGGCAAAGGAGCTGCACGGGGGTGGGGGGGGGGTTGTTTTTACCAGCCAGAGCTGGGTTTCACTCAAGCACTGCTGTTCTTAAAAATAGGAATGGCCAAGGTGGTTTCAAGCAAATGAGTCATGGGCTATGAACAGTGTATTTTTACACCTATTCCACAGGCTTCACCTCGCAGCAACCTTTTGCTTTCCCCGGCCTTTCAAAGCCCTCGTTCCCACTCGCTTTCTTCCCGCGGTTTAAATATTAACACGCATCCGAGCATCCTGTTTGCTTTGCCTCAAGCTCGCAACCGTTCAGCTATTTGGAAAGCTTTGGGCTCCCAGGACAGCTACAGTCAAATAACCTTGGCTGATTTTTTTTTTTTTCCTAGCATGCTTTAGCAGCTGTTTAATTAAACTCCAAATGACTTGCTTCTGGGAAGGGTTTTTCCCCTCTGCTGGGAAGGCAGAGCCGGGGCAGCCAGCTGCTCCCTGCCCTCCCTGTAATTGCTCCTTGGCTGTCAGGCTACTTTTTGGAAATCGAGAGGTGGATTTGTGGCTGGATATTAAATAGATGAGTTGCACGAGGAAAAACTAACCTCTAAAGCCTGTTAGTTATTTTTTTTAAAGGGGAAATCGGAGCGTGTTGCAATTTGGAAAGTGGCCAGCCACTGTTCTGGTCCTTCCCTTGCTTTTCCCTGTTAGGCAATCGGCTGATTCTTGTCGATGAGCTGTATTGGAAAGGGAGTTTCAGAGGAGAAGGCAGATTCTTTTAATTAAAAATTAAAGCTGACTTTTATTTTTAACTTGCCTATTGTGTAATGTGCTGAGCTAGAACAAATCCTCCCCTGTTTATTTTCAATGGGGAAGAAAAAAACCAAACTTTTATTCTACCAGGAACAGGCTTCAATGTTAATTTAATGTGAACTAATGGCCATCTCAGCAGACATGTGATTTGTGGGTGGTGAATTCCTCAACATGGATGAGGAATGCACAGGCACAACCATGCTGGCGCGGAGGTGGCTCAGCAGCTCTCTTTCCCACAGCCTTTAATCCGAATTTTGCATTTTAATTCCTGGGTAGCGGGCAAAAGCATGTTAGCAGGAATAGCCTCGTCTTCCCTCTGTAGAAAGAGAAAACAGGGTTACAAAATGCTGTTGGGAGAGTAGGTTGCACTTCTGCCAAGGATGCAGGGTTTGGGAAGAAGTTAAATCTTAGGTGGTCCTTAAAGCAACCTGCTTGGGGGAACTGGTGACCTGCAGAGGTGCCCAAGCTGCCAGCCAGGGGTGTGGGGATGCTGCCCCGAGCCTCTCATCCCTGCAGGGAATGGGAACGAGAAACGCTCTGCTTGAGAATTGCATCCCAAGAGGATGCTGAGAGGCAAAGGAGGGTAGATAATGTTGGCTGCCGCTGTGCAGGTAGCGAGGAGACGCAAGAAGAAAGATGCAGAGTATGGTCAAATTAGGAAGAGGGTTCACACTGGCACCCAAATGGTGCCGCTTCCCAGTGCGGTGTGTCCCAGCAGTGCTTGCTGCTCCCTCCCTGTGTCGTCGGGACTGTGGAGTCAAACGCTCGCCTTCGGCTCGCATCAGGGTAGCACAAAGCCAAGGCACTTGGGTGACACTGTGGTCAGTGCCAGCCCCTGCGTGTCCTTCCTGGCCCTGAGCTTGGAGTCTGGTGGGGTGGATTTCTCCATCACACTTCAGTGGGGTGTTCACAGCCGCAAGGGTGAGATGGGGCAAACAGATCACGAGCTCGAGATGCTACCAGTTTAGCTGGTCACAGGAGCGTGCTGCAAGTGGAGATCCCCAAGGGGTCTCGCAGCTCTCGCCCTGCTCCGGTTGGAGGCATGGAGCCGGGGCTGTGCCTTGCTTTTAGCAAACGGTAGCTGTGGAGCAGGTTTTTGGGGGAGCTTACTTGCTTGGGCATCATCACCCTTAGCCCTGAAGACTTATGGGCTCTAATAAACTGAGAGTGGGACGGAAAACCAAGTTAAATGCTCTGCTGTGGTCTCATGCGCCATCCTGGTGCTGGGGTTGCTCCTACCAGGAGTGCAGATGGCGTTACCCCTCCTGCCTGTTGCGCACTGACATGCCAAACACCAGCGCTGATGTCCACCCCAGGTCATCTCCAGTGCCCGTTCTGGGTCAGCATGTCCCCTGGGAGGAGGAGGCTGCCTGAATGCAGGGACCACTCGCTGAGGAAGGGCTGGGGTGTGTTGAAAGCTGGGATGCAGATGGTTTGGAGTGCGAGCCTGTTGCATAGCATCCCCCTGAGTTAATTTTCCCTCTCTTTCTTCCCTCCCGAAGCTGGAAGTTGACAGACTGGCGCTGCCGGCGAGCCCCAGCCCACTCAGCCCTGCACCCAGCCCCAGCCCCAAGCCCCCCGAGGCGGCCGTCCTCACCGTGGAGCCCTCTCCTTCAGAGAAGAAATGCTTCTTCGTCGACGAAGCAGAGCCCCTCCTGCGGTGCGACTCGACCTCCAGCGGCTCCTCCGCGCTCAGCCGGACAGGCTCTTTTATTACCAAAGGTACCAAAATCAGCCCGAGGGGGAGTGGGAGGACCAAAGGGATGACATGGCCTGTCCCCTGTGGTCAGCACACGTGGCAGAGCTACCTAACCTGGTATTGTTAAAGTAAACAACTGAGAAAAGTGGCTCTCCAGGATATGACATCCTCATTCCAGACCAGAATATCCTGTCAGCAGAGGTGATACAGATTTGAGAGGGGAAAACACCTTTAAAAGTTTTTAACTCTTTGAAGTGCTGCCAGAGAAGTTGCAGCATCCCTGGATGTTTGCGGGGCGGGGGGGGCGGTTTCTCCTGACTTTTGGCTGTGGTGTTGGCCTGTGCGTTATCGCATGAGATGAAACCAGAAAAATGTTGTTTCAAGATTGAATTTTTTTTTTTTCCCTACCCTTGGTCCTGCTTGCTACAGTGTGTGACTTGATGTAAATCACCGTTAGTCACCCCCCCTTTTTTTGAGAAGGTTTAATTTACTGCATTTAACTTGCTGCGTTTAACCTCCTTTAACTTCTGATGAAGGTGAAACACACGGCGCTCAGTCAATGTACCGAATTTATACTTGGGTGCGGAAATGAAGCTGACCCAACGAAAACAACTCAAAAGAGCAGAATTCAGCTTTTTTGGCTCCCCTCCTACCTTCACTTTTCCATATTGGCCATTCAGCATTTATAAATGCTGTGTTTGCTCTAGCGGGATCCTGGATTAGGTGCCTCAGCACCTCTGGCTTCTCTGTCTTCTCCCCTCCCCATCACTCATCACCTTCCACCTTTTCCCTCAATTCTCCTGGTGGTGTGTCTCTCCAGGCACCAGGGGATGGACCAAGGTCTCCCAGGAGAGCAAGCCCTAGTTAGCGAAGGTCTCTCGAGGGGTTTCTTGACCACCCTTTCCTTTCCTTTCCTCCTACAGAAAAGAAGGACACCGTCCTGCGCCAGGTGCGCTTGGACCCCTGCGACCTGCAGCCCATCTTTGACGACATGCTGCACATCCTCAACCCCGAGGAGCTCCATGTGATAGAGGAGATCCCACAAGCCGAAGACAAGCTGGACAGGCTATTTGAGATCGCCGGAGTCAAGAGCCAGGAAGCCAGCCAGACCCTCCTGGACTCTGTCTATAGCCACCTTCCTGACTTACTGTAGGCACTGGCTCACCACGCACTCTCTGAATATCTGCTAGAGCTAGCTTGGCACTCGTTAAGACGACTGACAATACGCAGGCAGGTTTTGTTGTAGAATATATGGCCAGTATTTTCGTTGAGGTGTCCTTGGTTTCTGGAGGGGGGGCAGTTTGCCAGTGTTGCACCCCTCCACCTTAACTGTCGCTCAGTCCAAGTCTTTGCACCCTCTGCCCCCTTCCCGAGCATCTCTTGTCCTTGTTCTCATTCCAATCAGATCGGTCGATGCACTTTAAAAAAAAAAAAAAAAAAAAAACAAAACACCACACCAACAAAAAAACCCAGGCAGTTAATGAACTAAAAGACCATGAATCTGTTGTAATTTAACACATTGAATTGGGGATTGCTCTGTAACCCACTTCTTCTGTCAAAGCTGTCACTCAGAGTGACTGTCTCCCACCACCTCCCTTCGCCTTGGAGTGGTAAATGGCAAAAAACACGCAAAAAAAAACCCCAACCACCCCAATCGTTGCTGGTTGCCGTCTCTTAATGCAGCTAAGCTTCCCACCCGAGCTGACTTTTTTTTTTTTTCTAAAATGTACTATTGTATAGCTCATATCCATTGCTGTGATTTTACTAGCACGGTTATTTATTGTATGGTTTTCACCGGGACAATGCATCGTGCTCGCACAAGCTGAAGCAGAAGCGCTTTAAATGCAAAGAAAAGGGTCAGTCCCGCCAACCTTTGAGGCGATGAAAAGGTCCTTTGCCTTCAAGTCGAATGTAAGGAGTTATCTTGCCTTGCCGCTTGCGGGAACGGCGGGGCCCCGAAGGGAGCCGGTGCTGGATGCGGGGAGGCGAAGGCGGCTGCCGGTGCTCCTGCTCTCCTCGTGGTGTAAGACTTAAACCAAGCTATTGCTTTTACACTCGTGTCTCTTGTTTTTTATACAGACGTGGCCGATAGGTTCTCCAAAGACCTTACCTGGTCTTAATAGTCTCTTCAAATCACACTTCACTTTTTAATAAGAGAAAAAAAGGGGGGGGGGGGGGGGGGGGGAAAAAAGCTGCATTGTAAGAAGTCTGTCTGATTATATTTGCAACTATTATGCTCCCGTAACGAACAGTCTGTACTATGCTCAGTTTGAAGAAATCACGATATGAGGGTGGCATGTGCCGCCCCGTGGGAAGGGGTGGGAGTGGGGGAAGAGGGGAATGAATTGAAAAATTGCCTTCCAGTGTACTAATTTATTAATAAATACTAGGTGTTTGTTACTTGACATGGTTCTGCGTTAACCTCCTTAACACCTGCCTCTGCTCAGGGACACCTGGGTTGGAGCAGGGGCTGCTTAGGGTGCCTGTGGTGTGGTGAAGAGGGAGATTTTGGGGTTTGGGGGTGGTAAGGGGAGGTGTCTCCTTTAGCTTTGAGGCTAAAATGTGATTGTTCTCTATCGATAACACTGCCTTGAGTCCTCATGGTCACTGCTGGAGTGCTCTGCATCCAGAGGGGGGGATGCTTCTCTGCAGGGCAGGTCCCCACACTGCGCTGGGGTGGGGGACCTGTTAATCCCTGTAGCGGTGAGCAGATGAGATGGCTGATGGGGCTTCCAGGATTGGTTTTTGCAAGCTCTCCAAGGCTTTAGAGGCATTTTGGAGGGGCTGAAGTATTGATTTTCCAGGATGCAGCTGCTGTGCTGAGTCACTCCTGAGTGAAGGTTTTGCAGTCACAGCGCTTCTCTTGCCCTGTTACATTACCAATGTCCTTAAAACCTCTGCTTCCAAATAGCTCATCCCTTGTTATTCTGTCTACGAATGGAAACCTTAATGGGACAAATGCTTCTGGTTTATGCTACTGTCATTTTATATACTTAGCTCCAGAGTGTTTTCTGTTAACTAGGATGCTGTGTTTTCCTTCTGGCTGGCATTGAAAATGGCTGTTACAGGACCAGACGTAGGTACAAGCTTAGAACTTTTCAACACATGGACAGATGAAATACAGTGCAAAACAGCAAGAGCCTTTATTGGGAGTGCTGGGTTGGGGTTTTCCCTCACTGGCAATGAAACATTGAGCTCTTGGTGGCTGCAACATGTCTTCGAAGCATCACAAAGAGATGGTGAGTGTGGCTCGTGTGTCTGGCATACACCGGGTTGCTAAAAGCAGTATTTTGAGGTGGAGCCCAGTACCACCCTCTTGGCAAGTGGGGTTTTTTATCTCCGTGTTGGGAGTGGTGGTGATTGCTGTTGATCTGCCTGGGCACGAATTGACAAGGGGAGGAAAGGTGTGCGATCATGGGCTCAATCAATAGCTTAAGGCAAACACAGACTGCCAGCTTTAAATTCTCCTTAGCAGGCTCTTGGAGTGGTTCCAGCTGGGAAACTGGGGATTTGTCTTTTTCTGATGGTCCAGGTTCTCCCAGTGTAAGCACCAGAGCCATTGTGCCACCCTCCCAGCGCTCTGCTGGCCCCATCCTGGCAGCTGCTTGCATATTCTGATGGGTTTTGAAGGTAAAGCAAAAAAAACCCAGCAGTCCTGGGAACGGGATTGAGCAGCCAGCTGATGGGACGCCACAAAGCAGGCGTGTTGTGGAGATGCCTTGGCCAGGAGGTGCTGAGGAGGCACAAGGAAGCTGTAAAAGCGGGTGCAGGTGGGTCCCTGGACTGTTGGGCTGCGTTTTAACTCCTCTTGGTGGCAGGTGGTGGGACAGGCCAAGGTCTGGGCAATCCTTGGCGCTGTTTGTGGTGTGCACATTTCCAGCATTGCTCCCTCCTTTGCTCGCACCTGGATGTTCGTCTTGTCCCTGGGTCTGTTGTTTCCTATTTCCAAGCTGTGCCCTCTAAGAAGCCCTTTGCTATATAGATATGTATATGTGTGCGATATATTTAATATATTAAAATATTATATGTTAATATATACTACACAATTTTCTATATTATGATATTTGTGTATTTTAAATTATTTTGTTATTATGTATTTGTGTATGTGTACTCTCTCTATATATACACACGTATTTTGTGTATCTGGGGGTGTGCAGGGGAATGTCTCGGAGCAGCTGAGCCACATGTACAGGCGGGGTATTTCCTGGCAGCGTGGGAGGTGTGAGAAGCCACAAGCCCCGAGCCCCCACCCTTTTTCTAAGCCAGCTCTCTTACGCCTTAAGAAAATAAACCGGGCAGGTAGGGCCGCTGGGTTCATGACCTGGAGGCATAACTCCACGAGGCAGGGTGGGGAGAGATTGTCCTTGTCCTTGTACATGGCGTATGTGAGGCATCCCAAGCAACGCACAAGCCTTGCCTGCCATGACACTGGTTGTGGTGTGCAACTCAAATGTGTGAAGTTTTTTGCTAAATGGGTTTAGCAAGGTAAGGCTGAGAATAGAAAGACCTTTGTAAATGTATATAATATGTATAAAGATGCATTTTATGTGAAATAGGAGTTAAAAATGTACTCGAAGGGGTTTGAAACGCGTGGCTTTGCTTTGCCCCTTGCCTGGCCTCACTTGCTTAGTCAAGGTGTTTACCAGGAGGGGGGATTTGGGTCCTGGGGCGTCAGCCCTGGGTGGAAGAGCCTGTGAAATCAGAGGGGACAGAAGGAGACGAGAGTGCAGCTGTGCTCCCCTGCTCTGCCTGCCGCGGGCACCTTGCATCAGGACAGAGACCGAAATTTCTTGTGTAGATCACGCGAAACATCAACTGCTCCAGTCCCGCTTGCTGCAGGCTGGAACAGGAGGTGTGGAAATTGCAACTCCCCCAATGTCACAGTGTTTGCTGGGACAAAACCCTCCGGAGATGCCTCCAGCATGGTCTGGCATCCTCAGGACTGGATCGCTCTGCTATTGCAGGGCCTTTTATTTCCTCCAATGCAAATAAGGTTCGGGACTTATTTTTTTTTTCTTCCCTTTTTCTCTTTTCTTTTGTTTCTATGAATTGCAGGCTCTCCCTGCAGAAGAACAAAGCATCTAGTGCACTTTCCTCCTACCCCAGCCTAATTGGAGTTTATCCTAATGGGAAATTAATTGCAACCCTCCGGGCGTGTCTGCTCGAATCCCTGATTGGAAAAGCACCCGGGGTCTTCTGGGAGGTTATTCAGCCCCGCGGCTCCTTTTACGTCAGCTAATTGCCATGAATTGCAACAGTCTCTGCGTAGGAGGAATCGTCTGTGCAGCCTTTGTGTGGATAACCTGCGGGGAGATTGGTGGTGGCGATGCCGCCCAAGGATGCCCCACGGGCTTGGCGTGGGATGCGGGGGTTATTTGGGGAGGGGGGCTGCGGGGCCGAGCTGTGCAGAGCGTGGGCGGGAGGCGGGTCGGCGCAGGGACGGCTCATGCCAAAATCCTCCTCTGGCATCGCCTGGCCACGAGCTTCAAGTCATGAAGGCTTTGCAGCTGGTTTTCTTCTCTTGGACTTTGTGCCTGCGAGTACCACAACAGGGAGGTTTCCAGGGCAACTGGTAGGAAATTGAAAGATGAAGGAGAAATAAGAGCCATCATTTATGTATTCATCGAGTGCATGACTAGTGATGGTGGCACCCCCCGAGGTGTTTATCAAACCAGCCTTTAGGACATGCTGCTTCTTCACCATGTGAGCATTTATGGGGTTTACTGTTTCCTTTGGACTTCTGTAGTTTAACTTCCCCTTCCAGCATCGCTCCCTTTCTCAAGCATTTTCTTAACCAATATAATCCAAAAAATGGGGGAAAACCCCCCCAAAATTCAACCAGAAGCATCCAAATAACATTGGATCAGCTGTTGATGAAGATGCTGTCCAGCAGCTCAGGCAGCAGCTTTGTGGGTTTTCTAAAGTTGTATCAACTTTTCTGCAGGTTTAGGTGCTGTTATAGCAGGCCAGGTGCTAGCCTCTGTTCTTTAGGTGCCTAAATTGCTCTTGGAGTACCTGGCTTCAAAGTCGCTCAGGCGATGTCAGAGATGTTCCTCTCTCTGCTTCTCAGATTTGCTTTGGGTGCATGATTAACCCATAATCCTGATCTAATTCAAAATCAAAAGCTCGTCTTTCCTCTGGTATTTTTTGGAGGAAAAAGGTTTGTAAGTTTACAAAATGTTACAATCCTGTGAGTTTTATTTTTTCTTTTTCATTTTTTAAAATTTCTTTTTTTATTTCCCTGATGCTAAAGAAGGAAATCTCTTGTTTCAGGCATGACTGAAGCCTTGCTAACCCCTCCAGTAAACTCACAGTTGGTGGTTTACAGACATGAATGCACAAATTACAGCACTTTCCCTTTGGACTTTTCTTCCCCAGATATGTGTGAACCCCTAACCTGGGAACCTCACCCTGGGAACACCTGGGAAACAGCTGGAGGT